CAGAATTACTGGTATCTCTTATCCTCAATAACGAATCCCAGATCATACAAACTTCAGGCAAACTAGCAGTTTTGATGAAGGTAAGCAGTGACCAAAAACTAAGTAATGAGCTGTTCAGTGACCATTTATTTAATTCCATATTAATGGCTAGCAAGCTTCTTACTTTCTAAAGTTTATCGAGAAGAGTCTACTAGTGGCTAGTAGTGGCTTAGAGGATGGCTAAAAGACCACAGACTTATATGAATAAAAGTGGTTTACATATTTATAAATTATATTTTGAAATATACTAATATACCTTAATATATATCTTAATAAATGTAAATATGGATATCACTTATATATCTTAGCAGAGAAAGAAAAGGAAGTTAAAAATGAGCACTTTGTCCCTATGGATTTGGAGATATAGATTAAAATAATTAGATCCTTTTTCGTGTCCCCCATCTGCTGGTTGCTCAAGATTTGGCTGTAGTTTATCACTGATCATTACTGAGGGAAGTATGGGCTATATATGTAGAAGCCATTGAGTTACAGTTTCCTAATGAGTACTCTGTCAGAACAAGTCTTTAAGGTAAGCTTTGAATTTCCACAGAACATCTGCTGCTGCTGTACAGCAGCACTCAAGGTGAGTGCAACTAAAGTGCCTTTTCTTACTTTACTTGCTAAACATGTATACATACATTAAACCAAATGCAACCATCAAGGAAAGAGTTGTAATCCCTTCTTCTTTTCATCGTAAAAATATGTGGCATTGTATTCCCAGTACTTGACACATAGTTTAATGTTTGGTATATATTATTTATTCAACAAATATTTATGTACCAAAACTTCCTCAGGTCAAGTGGATCTCAAGAAGTAAGGCCAACTTACATTCCACCTCCTGGGGCCCTCTTAGCTGTTATGTTATATGCCCTTTAGGTATATATTTCTTCAAAGAACACCTAGGAATATCAAGGTAACCCTTTCTCTTTTTTTTTTTGGTCAGTTATGGAGCTTGAAATCAGGGCCTGGGTATTGTTCATGAACTTTTAGGGTCAAGGCTAGTGCTCTATCACTTAGAGCCATAGTGCCACTTCTGGTTTTCTTGTGGTTAATTGAACATAAGGGTCTCACAGACTTTCCTGTGTAGGCTGGCTTCAAATCACAATCCTCAGATCTTAGCCTCCAGTAGCTAGAATTATAGGCATGAGCCACTGGTACCTGGCTAACCCTATTTCTTCAGTGTTATTTGTTTCCTGTGGTTTTGGCTAGGCCTGTCCAAAGATAAAATATTACCACCAAATGTATATCTTTCCTCCATTTGAATCCTTTAACTAATGAGAAGAAACAGATACTGTGTCTTGTGTATGCAGGGAATAAGATATGGCTCTTGATTTCAAGAAGCTCTATAGGATGTATAAGAATTTTTTTCATACATTAGACTGTGTTAGGAGTGGAACTTAAACTGCCACAGAGAAGTCAGGAGAAAGGTCTTCATTATGAAGTAAAGAACCTTAAGTCATGAAACAAGACAGGTCAAACAAAACTTAACAAGACAACAAGGTTAAGGGAATGGGGCTTTCTAGGCTGATGGGAAATCATAAGAATATTTGGTCTTGGGGCTGGGAAGGTGGCTCAGTGGTAGAGTGCTTGCCTTGCATGCAAGAGGCCCTGGGTTCGATTCCTCAGCACCACATAAGCAAAAAGCCGAAGTGGCGCTGTGGCTCAAGTGGTAGAGCGCTAGCCTTGAGCTGAAGAGCTGAGGGACAGCGCCCAGGCCCAGAGTTCAGGCCCCACGACCGGACCCCCCCCAAAAAAAGAATATTTGGTCTTACATGTTTGTAAAAGAGGTTAAAGAAGGGACTTGGGGATGTGGCTTAGTGGTAAAGTATTGCCTAGCATACATGAAGCCCTGGGTTTGATGCCTCAGTACCACATACACAGAAAAAGCTGGAAGTGGCGATGTGGCTCAAGTATTAAGGTACTAGCCTTGAGCAAAAGAAGCTTAGGGACAGTGCTCAGGCCCCAGTGTTCAAGCCCCAGAACTAGCAAAAAATAAAAAGATGTTAAAGAGTAAGTTGACTACACTTGGGTTTTTGTATAACCATCCTGGCAATTTATGGAGAATGGATTTGAAAAGAATAGAACCCAAGTCACAGATCACAGTTAGACTGCAGCAGTTATAGTAGGCCAGGCAAAGAATGAAGAGGGCCTGGACTAGGATTGTGGGGATGAAGACATGGGAACATGTATCTTAAAGACATTTTGGGATGGAATTGGAAGTGAGGTGAAAAGCCATGTCTTCCTTCTTTTGGATTGGAAAATTGAGTGCTGCATGGAAAGAGTGCTATTCACTGTGTGTGTGTGTGTGTGTGTGTGTGTGTGTGTGTGTATATACATATATATAAAACAGTGTTATATATAATATATATAACATATATATACATATGTACATATATAATATTTTTCCTTTTTCCTATTTTATATATATCCTGCAAAGTAATTAGATGCCATGCTGAGGTAGAGCAAGGCTTAGAAAACAGTGCTTAGACCTTTGTATTTAATATCCTCTCACTACTATTTGGTGATTTCTAGTATAGAAAAAACATGTTACCTTTTCCAATCCAAAAAAATAACCAAAAAAGCAAAAAAAAAAAGTCCTTAGCCGAATGCTGATGGCTCATGCCTGTAATCCTAGCTATTCAGAAGGCTGACATCTGAGGATCATGGTTCGAAGCCAGCCCAGGCAAGAAAGTCCATGAGATTCTTATCTTCAATTAACCACCAAAAAAGTTGGAAATGAGCTGTGGCTCAAAGTGGTAGAGTGCTATCCTTAAGCAAAAGAGCTCAGGAAAAGTGCCCAGGGTCTGAGCTCAAGCCCCACAACTGACCAAAAAAGAAAGCAAAGAAAACTCCTTGAAATTGAACTTTAATATATGTATTTTGTTGCTGATAGAACTTAGTTATAAAGTTTCATGATGCATTAATATATTGGGAAACCATTCTGTACCCTATATGACATTGAAGAAAGTCATGAATCCAGAATTGTAACATGAAATGTTATGCTTTATAGTTCTTTAGATGTGGGTCTTTTTAAACTTAAAAACTAGGGGGGCTGGGTATGTGGCTTAGTGGTAGAGTGCTTGCCTAGCATGCATGAAGCCCTGAGTTCAATTCCCCAATACCACATACACAGAAAAGACCAGAAGTGGCACTGTAGCTCAAGTGGTAGAGTGCTAGCCTTAAGCAAAAGTTCAGGGAAAGCGCCCAGGTCCTGAGTTCAAGCCCCAGGACTGGCAAATAAAAGCTTAGTTTAAAGCTCCTCAGATGCCCTTCTTCCCATCCCCGCTTCCCATTCTCTGTCCAAGGATAACCCCAAGCTACCTTCTAAAAGAAGCCTCTAATTTTAAAGCATGGTATGTAATTTATCTGTGTATTACTGAGAACCAACTCAGAAATCTCATGCATACAAAACAAGCTCTCTACATCTGAACTATATCACCCAGCCCTGTGATTGTATTCTTAAGCACACTGAAACCTCACAAGAAACATTGGCTTTCTTACTATTCTGTAAAGATAATTTAAAAGTGTTAACCCATGTTGTGTGACCCCTGAAACAAGTCCTTTTGTGAGAAGTCAGGCCCATTCACCTCCTGTGTTCCTAACACAAGAATCTTACTTGACCATTCACCTCTTTCTATCTTAAATAGTAGTGCCAAAAATGTACTTAAACTTTACCCTTTCTCTTTATAAAACAACAGTTCTACCAATTTCTCCTAAATTGTTTCAGTTTGAAGGTAAGTGTTTTCTGTGACTTAAAGTAGTTGTCCAGACGTATATAGAATAATTTCAGATGTACTTAAAAAGTCCCAAATGCTTAATTGTAATTTTTTAGCAAAAAATGCCATTTTCTAATAGCTTTGTCAAATTTAGAAGATGATGTAGTTCCAGCAGCTCTTATAGTATACATTTTCTTTGTTACTGATTAAAATTGTAGTTTGTAGACATGTATGTGTGATTTGCCTATTTCTAAAATAAAATTCCAAAGTCTTTTTTTAAAATAATATCACTTTATTATTCTACAAGGACACTAATGTCTAAGCTAGCAAGCCTGACAGGAATTGAGTTAGTGCCAGACTAGCCAAACTTTGCTGGGAATACAGTTCACTGTCCATGCCCATGTGAGACAGGGGCATAGTCTGAAACTCTGACTCTTAGCATTACGGTTCTTTCTAGTTAGTCTACCACTTATATATAATTATGTACATATTTACCATCCATAAGTAATGTTAGTTAACCATAGTTATGCATATGCATAATATGTTACCTAGAGGGAAAATCATGCAGAAATAAGTTTTTGGTTTCTGGTAAATTATAGCCACCATAGCATTTACCTTATATAACTTCAAAAAAGTCTCAGTAGAGGAAAAAGGCTAAAACCAATGCTTACTTCCTGTACTTACTAAGTATTACAATATGGACTATACATCTACCAAATGCATAGTGTTTTCTAATTTGGATTAGCTGGCTAGAAGCCACATAAACCAAGTTCTATCTCTATTTGAATTTTCCTCTGCTCTTAACAATCAAGAGCAAAGGATTACTATTAGGTACCCTTTTATCTTTGCCTGAAATATAAGTAGTTACACTTATCTCTTTTATAAATATCAGGGGAAAATATCTTTGGAAGGATTCTAAAGTCCTATGTTTTAAAAAATGAGCACAATACATCTATATTATAATGCCATAATAAATAGAAAATGTTTTTCACTCTTTCAAGTTTAAAAGCATCTTGTAGAGCCAGTCACGAAAATAAATATTTAAATTTTACCATTTTAACCATGCTGTAGGTACTAATACCATTTAAGAAACCTAGATGTTGAAATAGATGTTTTATCTATGCAACTGCTATATATGACTTAATATTCTACATGTTATTTAAGATAGTATAAATTATTTATGATAGCAGTATTAAATCTCTTTTTTCTAATCTTACTCTTCTCTTGTGATCAACTTTGTCATAGGATCTGAGTGTTTCCGAAATTACAGACCACAAACCAGAAGATAATGACAGTCAAATTAGTGCCAAACAAACAGAAGAGAAAAAAAGTGTGGAAGATGATAAAAATGTTGCTGCAGGTGACCATGGTGAAACCAAAGTGCCAGGAAGTGTCAAAGATATTCCAGCTGAAATCGCTGAAGAGGTGTGCTGATAGATGTTTGCATCTTGATCCTATGGTTTCCTAGTCCCTGAAAGTTCTGTTATCCTATGGGAGCAGCAATACTTTACTCATGTGCCAAGAAAAGGCTTTGCCTACTTTCTAAATTAAGCAAATCTTTTCTCTTACACACTTGCCACACTGCTTGGTAGAATGCTATCTCCCACATGCGTAGAAGTCAGTTGGTATGGGTAGTATACTTCTGGGAAATGAACAATAAAATTGGGCATAGGTATTTAAAATACTGAAAATTCAAAGTTAGGAGCCCCAGTGCTAGTAGGAAAATGGGATGTGTACGTCCATACATTTAAATGTATATGAACAAATGAAAGTTGGTCCCAGCAGTATTTGATGTTGTGCTTAATTCTTCACAGATAAAATATAGACAGAAATATGTAAAGAAGAATTAAGAGGAGGTATTACTGAGAGAGCAATGATCATCCTGAAAATCAATTTAGGAATGTTACAAGCATAATTTCCATTATTTGTTGTTGTGCTAGGAGACAGACAGTTGGTCAGTTTGAAATGATTTGTTTACTAACAATATTTGGTTCTAATTTCAGATGTGTGGAATTCTGAAACCCAAACCCAATAGCATTGTACGAATCTATTTTCATTCCGTAACTCTCATGTACTATTAGTTGAGACTTCTGTACTCTGATCCCTGCTCTGTGCTACGTTCTTTCCTTTTACTTGAATTCTCTTGTTTGTTTGTTTTTAGTTGGTCGTGGGGCTTGAACTTTGGGCCTGGGTGCTGTTGCTGCTCAAAGCTAGCGCTCTATTACTTGAGCCACAGCGCCACTTCCAGTTTTCTAGTGGTTAATTGGAGATAAGAGTCTCACAGACTTCCCTGCCTGGGCTGGCCTTGAACCACAATCCTCAGATCTCAGCCTCCTGAGTAGCTAGGATTACAGGCATGAGCCACTGGCGCCCAGCTGAATTAATTTTCTTTTAGCCCTACTCCCATTCTCCTTTTTTCTGACATAGATAACTACTGAAATGTATCTATATATCCTTTTATTTGAATTTGTACTTAAGATACATGTATTGTTTTATGGGCATGTATTTTTTGTTTTTCTTTTTTTGTTTATTGTGCTGGTCCTGGAGCTTGAACTCAAGGCCTGTCCCAAAGCTTCTCTTGCTCATGGCTAGTGTTCTACCACTTGAGTCATAACTCCACTTCCTTTGGTAGTGTGTTAGATATATAAGAATCTGACAGACTTTCCTACTTGGGCTAGCTTTGAACTGTGATCCTCAAATCTCAGCCTTCTGAATAGCTAGGATTATAGCCATGAGCCACTGGCACTCAGCTTTGTGCACGTATTTTTTACTTTACAAAATATTATTGTTCTTTAGAGATCATTCTCATCTTTGGTGCCTTCTTTTGCCAAGGCTCCTTCCTCACACTGAGGCTAAAAATATTCTGTCAGCTTTTTTTTTTTCAGAAAGGGAAAATGATTCTCTTCATAGGAAGCATTTATAATTTGGATCAGGATGGTTTCTAAACTTCTAATACAGAAATTATTGAATACCTATTATAGATGGTAAAATGTTGAGATTAATTATATGCCAGTTAATATTTCTGAATCATCTTTGAGGAAAATTTTTGAGTCATACTGGTTTTTTAATCATATAATTTTAAACTAGAACATTAGTAATTAATATATAAGGACCTTAATTTCACAACAGCCTAGCAAGATGAAGTAATCATCACATGGAAGTCGAGGTATGGCTCAGCTGATAGAGAGCCAATTGTGAGATTAAAAATAAATAAGAGCCGGGCACCGGTGGCTCACCTCTGTAATCCTAGCTACTCAGAAGGCTAAGGATCTGGGGATCGCAGTTCAAAGCCAGCCCGGGCAATAAACCACTAGAAAACTGGAAGTGGTGCTGTAGCTCAAGTGGTAGAGTGCTCACCTTCAGCTGAAGAGCTGAGGGACAAGACAGCACCCAGGCCCAGAGTTCAAGCCCCATGACCAACAAAAAAAATAAATAAATAAAAATAAATAAATAAGAACTCCATCCCTGAGTTCAAGCCCCAGTACCAGAAAAAAAAAGAAGTAATCATCATATATTTATCTTATTAGCTAGAGACAGGCTCTGTAACTCTGCTTAAAAACCAAGACTAATTTACCTACCACAGGATGAATATGGGTTTTGTTTTGTGTGAGGTTTTTTTTTTTGGGGGGGGGCGTCAGTCATGGGGCTTGAATTTTGAGCCTGAGCTCTGTCCCTCAGCCCTTCAGGTCAAGGATAGTGCTCTACCACTTAAACCACAGCACCATTTCCAGTTTTCTGGTGGTTTATTTGAGATAAGAGTTTCACGGCCTTTCCTGCCCAGGCTGGCTTTGAACCACGATCCTCAGAGGTCAGTCTCCTGAGTAGCCAGGATTACAGGCATGAGCCACTGGCACCTGGCTTATGAATATGTTATTTTTGTGACATTGTGTCTTTATTGTTTATAGGAAAGAAAAGCCAGTGTAGAGGATCTAGCTGTTCATGAATACAACAAAAATCCAAAAGGTATGAACACATTTGACTTCAAAAGCATATTTTTAAATTTTAGATAAAATTTTAAGAAAATTTATTAAAGAAAAGTTAAGTATAAAATATTTATATATGTATGCATATATATGTATCCATGTTTTTAGGTCATCATAAGCTTATTCACATATGTTTTTTACAGCTTTTACTGTCATCTGACCCTCATTAACAAGTTATGAAATATGTTAACCCAGGCATATCTGTTTTCATTTATAACTATCACAGATACTTCACATGCAAATATATGATTCATGGTGTTCACATGTCAGTGTTCAGGGCTTTAGGGTAGTCTAAAACCTTGGTCCTCATATCTCAGCTTCCTGAGTAGCTAGGATTATAGGCATGAGCCACTGGTGCCCTGCAGAATGAACGATATATTTAAATGTATTCGATTGTAGGAAACATGCATGAATGTGCCCCGAGTACTTCTCCAGACAACCTGGAAGTTAGTGATTCAACACCAAGTCAAGAAGTGAAAAAATCCAAAAAGGTAAGTGGAATTAATTTTCCATTTTCACATACATCCTTAATCTAAGGCATTTGATGTTCCTATCTTTTTCCCAAATAGTACAAGGATTTTAGAATTTTTTTCTGTCCCATTGCCCCTTCCTTCACATTTATTCTAATTTTTTTGGCCAGTCCTGGGACTTGAACAGTGCCTGGGCACTGTCCTTGAGCTTCTTTTACATAAGGCTAGCACTCTACCACTTGAGCCATAGCACCACTTCCAACTTTTTCTGTGTATGTGGTTTTGAGGAATCAAACCCAGGGCTTCATGTATGCTAGGCAAGCACTCTACCCACTGAGCCACCTTCCCAGCCCTACTTAATAATTTTTAAAAATTGAAAAAATAAAAAAATAGTATTAAAAGATATTTCTTCAGAGGCCTTGTCTAGCATACCAGATTTGTTTTCTAGTACTGCACAAAACAGAAAACACCAAAATACTGCTTTTTTTGGGGGGGTCATGGGGCTTGAACTCTGGGCCTGGACACTATCTCTCAGCTCTTCAGCTCAAGGTCAGTGCTCTACCACTTGAGCCACAGCACTACTTCTGGTTTTTTGGTGGTTAATTGAAGATAGGAGTCTCACGGACTTTTCCTGCCTAGGCTGGCTTTGAACCATGATCCTCAGATCTCAGGCTCCTAAGTAGCTAGGATTACAGCTGTGAGCCACCAGTGTCTGGCTCAAAATACTGCTTTAGTATAATTTTTGATAACTTAATAAATAACGTCATGTTTCTGTCAGTGAATTTTGGTCGGTTGTGGGGCTTGAAATCTGGGTCTGGGCACTGTCCCTGAGCTCTTCAGTTCAAGGCGAGCGCTCTACCACTTGATCCACAGTGCCACTTCCAGTTTTCTGGTGGCTAATTGGAGATAAAAGTCTCATGGACTTTCCTGCCCGGGCTGGCTTTCAATCGCAATCCTCAGACCTCAGCCTTCTGAGTAGCTAGGATTATAGGTGTGAGTCACCAGCACCTGGCTCTCTTACTGCTTTTTTAGTGCTTTCTTAGATTGTCTGTCTTTGATATATTTGGGATGCCTAGCTCTTAAATTTTCATTTTAACCTTCTTGGAATTTATTATGACTCTTGAATCTGAAAATTTGTTTCATTAATTATATATTTTTGGTGTTATAAGTCCTTATGCTTGCTAGGTAAGCACTCTGCCATTTGAACCACACTTCCAGCCCTTATTCACTATATTTTTAAAAATTCTTTTTCATAATATATTTAAATATTAACTCTTTTACTTTTTGAACTCTGACATGAAACTTTTCCATTCTGTTCTCCATATCTTTTATTATCTATTTCATATTTTCTATATCTGTGATAGGGAATGTAAAGGTTGTTATTGACTTGAGAGCTTCTCTTTTGTTGAAATTATTCTGCTCTTTCACCTACTTATTAAATTATAAGTTCGTTGATTATATTTTTTGGCAGTAATGGTATTTGAACTCATCCTCACTCTTACTAGGCAGGTACTTTTATCACTGAGTCCTTTAGTGCCCTTGTTGGTTAGTTTTAGATAGGATCTCCTTTCATGCCTAGTGAGTGCCTCAAAAATGATCTGTCTATGCTTCCTATGTAGCTGTGATGATAAGCATGTGCCACTGCATCCAGGTATTGGTAAGAAGGGGTGTCTTAACTGGCCTCAAACTGCAATCCTTTTATTTCAGCCTTCCAAGTAGCTAGGATTCACAGATGTGAGCCAGTAGTGTCTGGCCTTATTTTTTTGTATATAATCAGTCGTGGGGCTTGAACTCTGGGCATGGTAACTGTCCCTGAGCTCTTCAGCTCAAGGCGAGCACTCTACCACTTGAGCCACAGAATCACTTCCAGTTTTCTGGTGGTTAATTGGAGATAAGAATCTCAGGGACTTTCCTGCCTAGACTGGCTTTGATCCATAATCCTCAGATCTCAGCCTCCTGAGTAGATAAAATTACAGGTGTGGGCCACCAGTGCCCAGCTAATTTTTTCATATTTTAAAGTTTTATTTTGGTTCTTTTTTCAATTAAATATGTTCTTTGAAAAATTAATATTTGGTTTTTGCTTTTTAAATCAGTTAATATACTTACTTTCTATTCTATATTTCTTAATTCCAGTGTCAGCTATCATCAGGAGTCAATATTTATGTATTACTTTGGTGGACTTGATAATAGCAACTTGTTTATAGATGTATTTTGTAATTTGGACTCCCAAGTTTATGTTCAAGTAGGACTTTTTTGTGGCAATCCTATAAAGCCTAGATTAAAGTGAATTCATCTATAGAGAATATTTATTTAATTTTTTTTATTGTAAAGATACTATACAGAGGGTTATAGTTACATGAGTAAGGTAATGAGTACACTTCCTATTGAGCATTGTTACCCCCTCATAGAGAATATTTATTACCCTCTGTTAGGTATGAAATGGCAGGAAGCACTTTGGGTTAATTATCACATTGATCACATGAACCTCAAACTCATCTCAGCAAAACATTTTTTTCTTCCTCATAAAAGGGAAGCCAAAAGGCACCATGGCTCAGGCCTATAATATGAGCTACTTGAAAGGTAGAGATTGGGAGTATCTCAAATTGAGGCCAGTCTGCTCAAGAACAGTGATACTCCATCTCAACCAACAAGTTGGGGCAGAGTGGCTCACACCAATATTCACAGCTACATGGGAGGAGAAGGTAGGGAGGACAACAGCAGTCGGAGGTTGACCCAATCAAAAATATATGAGACTATCTAAAAGACAACTAAAGCTGTTGTAAAAGCCTTGGAACATGGCTTAAGTTGTAGACTACCTGCCTAATTTCAAACCCCAGTAGCACACACAAAATAATCCAAGCCAAGAGAGTCATTTGTATGTGGACTTGTGTTAAGGATATAGTACTTACAGAATTCTCACCTTATATAGCACTCTCAATTCTTTTCCCCACATTTTGTGAGATCAAATCTGTTAAAATTCAATCATCTTTAAGTTATGAGACCAATGTCATTTTAGTATTCACCTCTGAGGCTTGTGAACCTTCCTCATTTTTTGGCCCACAGGGATTTCCTTTAATTTTTTTTTCTTTCTTCCTTTTTTTTCTTGCCCAGCACTATCCTTGAGCCTCTTTCTGCTCAAAGCTAGCTAACATTCTACCACTTGAGCCACAGTGCCACTTCTGGCTTTTTCTGAGTAGTTTATTGGAGATTAAATTCTCATGGACTTTCTTCATGCTTCCAACTGCAGTCCTCAGATCTAAGCCTCCTAAGTAGCTAGGACTACAGGCGTAAGCCACCAGCACCCAGCTTCCCTTGATTTCTTGTGAGATTATCTGCACATTTATAAAATTATATTTTTATACTTAGAATTTTTTTGCCAGTCCTGGGGATTGAAGTCTGCTTGGTCACTGCCCCGGAGCTTTTTTTTTTTGCTCAATGCTAGCACTCTGCCACTTAAGCCACAGTGCCACTTCCAGCTTTGTCTGTTTATGTGCTACTGAGGAATCGAACCCAGGCTTCATGTATGCTAAGCAAGCATTCTACCACTAAGCCACATTCCCAGCCCTTGGAATTTCTTGGTGTTTTGTTATCCCTCAAAAATAGCAGAAACAAGATTGCTTCCATTTTAATCCATAAACACTTTTTCTAGAAGCTTTATAACTTTTCACTTTTAATTCTTCCATTTTAAGGTTATAAATGAATGGTCATTATTAGCACTATCTTGATTTCTAAAAGAACCAATTCCCAACTTAGTTTTTCTTTCCTGTTTTATTGTGTTGGCATCATGTCAGAATCATTATTTGTATTGTAATTCATTAAGATTCCTGTTTTCTAGGGATTGGAATGTGGCTTAGTGGTAGAGAGCTTGTCTAGCATGCATGAAGCCCTGGGTTTGATTTCTCAGTACCACATAAACAGAAAAAGCCAGCAGTGGCACTATGGCTCAAGTTTCAGAGTCTAGCCTTGAGCCAAAAGAAGCTCAGGGACAGTGCCTGAGCCCTGAGCTGAAGCCCCAAGATTGACAAAAAAAGAAAAAGAAAGAAAGGAAAGAAAGAAAAAAAAGAAAAGAGAAAGAAACCTGTTTTCTCTCTGGGTAAATCCTCAAAGAGCTTAAGTAGGATGAAACTTCCATTGGCATTTTACCTGATAACTCCTGCATGTGGCTCTGTTGGCCCCTATCTTCTTAATATGTTTTCCTTGCCTGATGCCTGAGATGCCTTTTCCTTATGTTCTCCTGCAGTCCTCAGTGCTACACCCCCTCCCATTTTGCTCTTCCTCAGTATCTCTTTTTTTTTTCCAGTCCTGGGGGCTTGAACTCAGAGCCTGGGCACTGTCCCTGAGCCTCCATACCAAAGGCTAGCACTCTACCACTTGAGCCACAGCACTACTTCTGGCTTCACACATTTGAGACAAGCACTCTACCACATTCCCAGTCCCCGGTATCTCCTCTTATCATCTTTCTTTCTGCCTTCCAGGAATCCCTGAGTTCTTTCATCTCTTCAAGTTCATGTCTGGATTCTGTACATTTGCAGCATTGACCTCCCCTGAGCAACAGGTCCCTACATCTCACTGCCTGCCTGCACAGACCCACAGGACTCACACAGCCATCATTTGGCAACACTAACACTTTGTTAGGAGTTCTGATCCACAGGAATAGGGAAATATGTCTTCCTCCAGAATGTTTTTCTTTACATATGACACACTGTGGATGGCAAGTGTCCCCAAAGTGGCCCATTCTGGTTATATTTAAAAGTTAACTATAGGTAATATCCTACTTTCCGTGTTTTTCTCTCTTACAACAAAGTGAAATCATTTTTTTGACAAAAAATGGCCATATTACCAAGATGTTGATAATGTTAAAGTTTATATCCTGAAAGATGTTGATTTAGGGTGGAGTCGTGACTGTATTTTGGTAAAATGGAATAAGACTGATGTGTGCTAAGAATAAACCAGCTGACATGTAGCACTCCGTAAAGATGGGATGACGTCATGATCATGCCTGTTTAAAGTAATACCCCTGCATACCAAGTGAGTATTTCACTTACTGAAATGGAATCTTTTTTCTTTGTGTATGTTTTTTCTAGATGTTTTTCCTTAAATGGATGTCTCTGACAGGTCAGAGATTTACACAGAATGAGTCACCTGAAACCATCAAACCAGTAGGAGATGAAGTACCATTACCAAGCGATAACAAAGATGCCAGTCAGAGCCAAATGGAACAAAACTTTCAGGATCCTTCACCATCAAATACTGCTGAGGGAAAGTCAAAATCCTGTATGATATTATAAAGATATGTCTTATGTTTTCATGGTCATCAAGCACATTCATAGTTTATACTTGAAAAATGTTATGACTTCTGAAAGAAAATTTCTAATAAAATAAATTTAAAGATGTAAATTATAGATTTTATTTGAGCAGTATGACCAGTTTTGATATTTATGTATGCAAATATTTTTGACAAGCGATTTCAAAATATATCTCAACATCTCAACCTCTTCTTGAAGTGTTGTGGCCTTAACTGTTCAGTGTTGCATAAAACAATGTATTTTTGTATGTGAAAATTGAACTCTAAGATATTTAATGGTTTTTGCTAAATAATTTTACTTCTTATTTCATAAGACAATGTTCACCACCTCGTGGCACTGTAACAGTTTTAAATGTATTTGTTAAAACCTGAGTCAAAATTTGTTTATGAAATTATTTTAATAAATATATCTGATTGGTTCTGCTGTTAAAATAAATGAATATGAATGAAATTTGGAGGGATATGGAAGTTACCCACTGATCAAATGGGGGCAAAAATATCTAATTTTAAAATATCCCAGGACATAAAATGCCTTAAGCCTGAATAAAGACTGTCTAAATGCAGTTGTGTAAATAACACATATTTGTAGAGAAACTTAGTGTTGATGTTTCTTTGCTTCCCATTTCTTTCTTTTGGGAGGTGATTATGCACAATTATTTCAGATTACATGTTGTGATCTGGAGTGAGGATCCTGCCACAGATTGCCAAACTTGTTTATTTCAACTGTCCCTAGAGTTGACAGTGACAAATCAAGTTTGGCTTAATCCTGTGCGCACTATTCCACAAGGAATGGAAGGGATTAAGAAGCTGCTTTCCTGGCTCGTAGGTGCTATGTATTTAATAGACCAAAAGACCTTCACTTTCCACATTCAAGCTTGTGAACAAACCTTCTTTTTGCCTGTCCTGGGGCTTGAACTCAGGGCCTGGACACTGTCCCTGAGCATCTTTTGCTCAAGCCTAGCACTCTACCTCTTGAGCCATAGCTTCACTTCCAGATTTTTCTGTTTATGTGGTATTGAGGAATCAAATCCAGGGTTTCATGCATGCTAGAGAAGCACTCTGCCACTAAGCCACATTCCCAGCCCCAAACAAATCATTTTATTCTTCAATCATAGTGACCATTTTCCCACTTAAAACGCTTTGTCTTTCATAAACAAAGGTTGTAAAAATGCTAGTACAAAATACATGATTTTGAAATCCTAACAGTAATCTTTGTGAATATTAATAAAGTTCTAATTTCATTAAGGGAAAATTTATTTTTAAATTTAAAAATTTTAAATTAATTTCAAATTTTAAAATTAAATTTTAGTACAATATAGCAAAAATACATTACCAAAACATATGGTAGAAGTTGGGTACTAGTGGCTCCTGCCTATAATCCTAACTACTAGGAAGCTAAGATCTGAGGATCATGTTTTGAAGTAACCCATGCAGGAAACTCTTAGCTCTAATTAACCAGCAAGAAACTGTAAGTGGAGTTGCAGGTTAATTGGTAAAGGGATAGCCTTTTTTTGTTGTTGTTGTTGGTCATGGGGCTTGAACTCTGGGCCTGAGCTCTCTCCCTCAGCTCTTCAGCTCAAGGCTAGTGCTCTACCACTTGAGATACAGCACCACTTCCAGTTTTCTGGTGGTTTATTGGAGATAAGAGTTTTATGGGCTTTCATGCCCAGGCTGGCTTTGAACCGCAATACTCAGTGCCTGGCAAGAGTTAGCCTTTATCAAAAAATAGGTAACGGGTATCACTTAGAAGTTCAAGCCCCAGTATGAACACATACACACACACCATGAAGTAGGAACTAAGTGAAAATAAAGCTTTCAAATGGTATTAAATTATGTCATTTATAGTGGCTTGACTTCTAAGATGACCTCAAGGATCTCACTTGTTGGTGCCACATGCCTTGAATAATGCTTTCCCTTTGAGTTTGAGTAAAAGACAAATTGAATTTAAAATTCTTAGCCTTACACTAACGTTTAAAAGATGCTAATCCTAGGTGGCCCTGACCTAATTAGGTAACCCCTTTCGAAGAAGCTCAAGAACTCCTCCATAAAAGAAGTCAGAACACCCATGACCAACAAGGAAGTCAGAACAATTTAGAGCTTCAGAGATGACCTCTCAGAAGAAGCCAATTGGCATATTTATGGAGAAGGTCATGTACCAGGAGTTGGAGGACAGCTTCTACCATTTGAGGACCTCAATCCTACAATTTGAATTCTGCCAGCAACCAATGAGCCTGGGAGAGGAATGCATGCCTTATATTAGGCCATAGCCCTGGAGGACATCTTGCTTGCAGCTTTGTGAAACCTTAATTGAGTAGTACTAGACTCCTGATGTATAAAAACAGAAGTAAAATTAACATTAAAATATAGTTTTAACCCACTAACTTTATGGTTGTTTGCTAAGCAGCAGCAGTAATATCAGTTGTATTATGGGCAAGAACCTCTATATTGTGGCTTCCTTTCTTCATTAAGGCCAGCCAGGAAGAAAGGAATCCATAGACTTTGCAAGCAAGACAAAGATTAGTTGGGGGTAACTTAATCATGGAAATGGTATCTTGTCATCTGTGGCATATTGTGTTGGTTAGAATTAAGTCCTGGATCACCCACATTGAAGGTAAGGGAGTAAACACATGGACAGCAACGATAAGGATAATCTTAGAGGTTACCCACTAACCCAGTCAACTGGATATTCATTCTGGATTTTCATTCAAAAGGGAAAAGACTTGTTAGGGCCAACAAAATCAAATATTTCCAAAGAAAGAATTAAGGCAGAACACTGGAAGAAGTGCATGAGCAAGCTTCACTAAACTGAAAACATCTCTTCTTTACTGGAGATCTCAAAATAGCATCTACTTAATAATAAGGTGGGTTTGTTGAGAACACCAAGAGTCAATTTTACTTTATTTTATTTTATTTTTTTAGATTTTTTTATTGTAAAGATACTATACAGAGGGTTACAGTTACATGAGCAAGGCAATGAGTACACTTCCTATTGAGCATTGTTACCCCCTCCATTGTTT